ATTGGATTTAAGTCATAGCTATTGCCTCCCTGACTTCAAATCATAGTTAACTTATTCGACGAAAAGAGTAACGTTAACATCGCCTTGACAAATTAACAAGGTTTCTATTGTATAATTAATAAAGTATAATCTTAACAACATAAAAACTATACCTTTGTTAATATCTATTTCCTTAAAAACATAAATCATCAATAAAGACGACTTGACCCTTCAACCTAAATAAATTCATGTTTATTTCTTTCATAATTTATGACTTAAACTCCCTGTTAGCAAATAAGCTTTGTTATCCTAATGATGTAGTGTTTATGTTTAACATCATTTTGCAGTACCTAAATATAAATTATGCATAGGATCTATAATAGTAAACTACTGAATATCTATTAATAAAGTAATATTAAGGATATCTAACAAATGCTATGTTCAGCAAAAATTTGATTACAGGTTATAGAATTTGATTTCTTAAAATTGTAGGCAATATTTCAATGCTTTTCTCTTAAACGTTGTGGAAGATCAGTATTAAAGTTACCAAAATTTGGTTTCCAATGACCTGTATTATTATTTTGAATCATAGAAAAAGTATAATCACATTTATAGCAATCCCTTTTAGAAGAATGACTTGAAAATCCTCCGATCTTAAAATAAATATAATTAAATAAATAATTATTATACATAATAAAAATATTAAATTTAAAAATGTTATTACCTTTCATACTATAGAAGCATCACACGAAATCATAATTAAAGCTGCACAATAAATTCTACCAATTAGATAGTTAGGTGATTTTATAACTTGTCCAGCCTATAATTGAAGAAACTCATTAATTAAAGGTTCGATATATTTATATATTTCGTTTACATCTGGCTCATGAGGACCAGGTATTATTCCAATAACAAAAGTATTTTCTTCATAAAATCGTATATGGCATATTAAATTCAATATATTACTCTAACAGAATATTGGATATGCTTACAAGGATTAAATCAATTCAAATTTAAAGCAAATCTAATATGAATTTCTAAAGCATTTTTGACAAAAAAAGACTGATTATTAGAATCAGTAAATGTCTTCCAAATCCTTTCTTCATATACATCAGCAAATATATTATCTTCAATTTCGCGATTAAAACAAGATTTCATTAAATCTTCCATTTTGGCTTTAATAAAAGTATTTCTAATTGACGAATTACTGAATGATATGGATAAATTTTGATTGGCTATTATAAATTATGTTAAACATTAGTTAAATTTTTAATTAATAAAATAATAGTAATTTTTAAAATTTTTATAAAATTATTAACTTAACTTTAATTAATTTATTTTCTTTAGATATTTGTATCATTTTTGTAATTGGTTCATTGCATACACATTTAATACATTTATCTTGATTATTAAGAATATTTATTGAACAAAGATGATGACATTGAGGACAAATAATATAATTTTTATATTCCAGTTCAATCCCAAGTGATTGATCAGCACGATATATAGTTGATAGAAAATCAGAAAATGTTTCTTTATCAAATGATTATAACAATTTTTTAAAAAATCTAGTAATATAGCATTTGCAGTTTGTAGTAACATAAATATTTCTTAAAAGAGATAAATCCATAAAATTGCCCATCTTGTTATTTCGTTTGTATTAAGAATTGAAGAGTTATGATCAATATTAATAGAATCATAATTAGTTTTCATTATATAATGTTTTTCATTTGAACTCTCATGATCTGAATGATCTGAATGATCTGAACCAATTTCATCAGAATAATTTTGATGTTCCTTACTAACAATTATATAATTTGTTATCATTTTAATAAAATTTTCATAATATTTAAAATCAATTTCTGAAGAATCTGATATATTAAATAAATCACTTTTTTGAATAGATATTAAAGGAACAGTTTTGTTTTTTTTTGTATTATGTGGAATAATGATTTCATTATTAGATAGAATTGTAGATTCATTTAGTAAAGACAAAGTATATGATAATTGATTTGAATAAATATCGAAATGTTCATAATTATTTTTTTCTGTAGTTTTTTGCTTAAGTTTGATATAAGAATTATATTAAATATTTTCTTCATTTATTAAGTATCGTTGAAATATCTTTTTTGATACTACTTATATTTCTTGCAATGGTATAGTCAAGTATTCATAATAAATTTTTGTGATTCAATAATTAAACAAGAATTAAATTAAAATTGTTATAAAAAAAATTAAAAAAATGTATTTATTTATAAAACATTAATTAATGTAAAAGCTTATGATTATGATGTAATAATGTAGCTGTGGGGTAATAAATAATGTTTAAAACTTTATTGTTGTTTTATATTGTAGATTTTACTTTGTATTCCATTAAACTTTAACATATGATAATATAAAAGCTATTTTAATATAAATATACTTTTTATCCTGTGATTTTATTTTTTTTTTCACGATTTGAAAAAAAAATTTTTTCTTTTCACAATCTAAAAAAAAATACAAATATTTTTTTTTCTTTTTCACAATCTGAAAAAAAAATATAATTTAAAAAATGAATGCAACAACTTTTCTTTCTAATATATCTAATAGTTTACATTCTTTAGAAACACGAACCAATTTACTATCAATAATAGAGAAAATAATATCTGTAATGTCAACAAGTCTTAATACAATAACTAACAAAAATAAACCTGAATTGGAAGAGGTTCATAAAAACATTTCTAATTTAGTGACATTGATATAAAATCAACAAAAATTTGTTGAGTGGCAAATAGAATCTATTAACAAATCTATCGAGTAGTTAAAGATAACTCAAGAAGATAGTTTGAATGGTTTTTTGGTTAAACTAGAAAATCATATGACTATGGTGGTTAAGCAAACAAAAACAAATAAATATACTAATGATTTTAAACAAGTCCATATGACTCAACTCCTACTTTAGTTGCTTTAATTTAAAATAAAATAAAAACAAATGAGCTAGATGATGAAGATTCCAATGATTTGATTGAAAGCAAATTTGCTTTCGATTATTCTAAATCTTTTACTAATAAAGCTAATCAAAAAATCCTTAAAGCATATTTACTATTTTATATGAAAGAATACGAATTCTGGGATAACAACTTTAGTAAGTATAAACATTGATTATTATTTTTTATATTTAATTTTTTTTATAGAAAAATGTGAAATATGGTCAGAAGAGTTAATTCAACAAATATGTAATACTTACTTTAGAATAAGACGTAATGCATTATAAGCTTCACCAGAAAATTAAAGGCTATAAAAACTAATAATTAACGTGATAATAGAACTTTGAAGATGCATAATAAAATCAAATTTGAGTAGAATTTTTATTATATATTGATCAATAAAGTATTAATATACATTTTTTATAGAAATTCAATACATGAAGATATGTTATTGATGCATTTGGTTTAGAAATATTAGGGCATCCAATTAGAGAAATCAAAGCATTATTTGCACAAGAATTAATATCACCTAAGATTAGTGAATATGAAGCTGAACCTGAAGGATCACAAATTGCTAATAATAAATAATCAACATCAGAAGAAATTTATTATGTTCCTTTTATCCCTTGGCATATTGATGAGGTATTATGCTTATCAAATTGTAATTTTAATTTTATTAAAAATATGAGAAATTTGTATAATTTTTTAATTTTAGGCTATAAGAGTGCGTAAAATTATTGATGCAAAAGTTGAACAACAACGTTGAGCAAAATTACATTAGAGTTCTAGTGGTAAAATAATAAACCCTCATCAATATATATTAGTAAATCTAAATAAAGCTAGATTCTATTAATTATTGTCATTTATTCCAGCCTGTCCAATATCACCAGACTTTTCACAATGGGCCATTAAGCCATATAATCTAAACACTATTCTTTATAATGCAGTTGATCCAGATTCTGAAGATGATTATGTATTTTCAAGATGTATCTAATTTAAGATTTGTGCTTATAACTTTCAAAACAAACATCAATTCTAAACAAATCTCATCACTTGGACTTGCAGGTAAATACTTATTATTATTTATTCATTTAATTTAAGATACAAATTAATAATTATTTATATTTCACATAAATATTGAAGATGATGATGATTTAATAAAATAATTTGCTGATCTTGATAATTAAACATAAATTTTGAACAATTCCTCTTTTGGAAAATGATGATTAGATAATATTGATTTAATACTTACAAATGTTTATTTAATTATTCTCATAATTTTTATGCTTATAGATGACAACTGACCTTATTATTGATTCACAACCTGTAGAAACATTCAATTATGGATTAACAGATTTAAATAACACTCATGATCGATCATCATCCACATTCAGTCAAATCAAATTGAATAATAACTTTGAAAAACAAAGTAATGATACAAGCATTGAATCTAAAGAGCATAGAGTTCCATCAGAAGATGCAATGATTAACCAAAAATCAGCAGGACCTAATAAAAAATAAAGTAATAATATTAAGAAGTAACAGGTTCTATTAAAAGATACAGCAAATAATCAAAAATCAATAGAACCTATTTTGAAATCAACAAAACGAAGTAAATTAAATATAGCTCAACTTTCTCAAACTACCCGTTTTAGGACTAAAGCTGTAGTCGTTTCTTATGAGAATAGTAAGTATATTTTTTTATTCACGTCTATTATAATTTAAAAATTAATTTCTAATATTCTCTGTATATTAGAATAAGAGATTTGCGTAATTTATATATTACATTTATTTAATATATACAAGAATCATATGCTATATTTACTGTAATGTATCATTATAATTTTATTTTATTATCTATGATATTTACACAAATATAAAAAGAATTTGCTATTATTTCTTTATAATATATAACTCCTGATGATAAGTTTTTAAACTAATAAACTGCATGTATTAAAAATATATAAACAACATCTGTTCTGATATACAATTTTTAGTAATGAAGTTTCATATAAGTGTAAAATACTTATAAGCAACATTTGATCTGATGTACAACTTTTATTAATGAAGTTTTGTACAAGTGTAAAATACTTATAAGCAACATTTGATCTGATGTACAACTTTTAGTAATAAAGTTTTATACAATTATATATTAATTATCTAGATGATACTAGCATTTATACATATTATGAAAATTAGACAAGTTTCTAAAGCATTTCCATTGAATACATTTTATTTGACTTTTGATGAAATGTCTGATAAATTAACAAGAAATGTGTCATATATATGAAGTTTTTTAGATGTAAATGTATAACATATTACATCACTTTAACCAGTGGTTAAAGTTAATTATCTTTCATTTCATTTCTAAGTGAAAGTTATTCAGCAGATTCAATACTATTTGCATATAAAATTTAATCTTGATTGGATTAATATTCGTGTTGTAATATGTGTTTTTGTAATTTTATTAATAACACAAACCTTTTTTTAACTTCACAGGATAATTTGAACACTTTGGTCAAAGTCAATTACCTTTCATCTCTAAGTGAAAGTTTTCAGTAAGTTCAATACTATTTATATCTAATTTTATTATCTTAATTGGATTAATATTCGTATAGAAATAAATTTTTTTGTAACTTTAATAAATATATCACACTTTTTTGACTTCACAAATTAATTTGATTACGTTAGTTAAAGTAAACTACTTACTGTGCATTAAGTAAAAATGTTTTATTTATCTGAAATTACTTAATATAAATTTTCATCTTGATTTTTTTAATATTCGTTAAGTAATAGCTTTTCATAATTGTATTAATTCTCAAATTTTTTTTGTTTTTTTTTAAATATTTATTTATGTAATTTATTAAATACTATATTAATGTAAATATATATCACTACTTTATAAAAAAAAAGTACTAAATAAAAGTATTTTTTTTTTAAATAAATTTAAAAAAAATTTTTTTATTTGATTTTATTGTATTTTTAAGATTACATAAAACAGTAATTAATATAATAATTAAATATTACAATTTTTTAATTATAATAATTAATGATAAATTTAAAAAGTTTATTAAGAGTAAAGTTCACTTTGAATTTCATAAAAATTTGCAAAAATAAATACTTTTCCTTTCCTCTTACTTATCCATTGCTATTTTTGCTACCTTTGCTTTATATTTTTGATTGTTTACATATTCTTGTAAATTGTCTAATCATTTGATCTATTTACATTACACCTGATCATCTAAAAATACTAATATATATAAATATTATTTAAAAAATGTTTATTTTTTTATTTATTTTATTTTTTAATTTTTTTCGTTCTCTCTTTCCTCTCTTTACTCTTCTTTCCTTTTTATCAAGTATATTTATTTCTTTGAATATTATTTTTCTAATATTATTAACTATTAACAGTTTATTAAATATATTTATTTCTTTCTTTTATATTATTAATTATATTTATTTTTCTTTTTTTCTTTTTTTAAATATTATTAATATTACTAACATTATTTTTATATTTTACTAATATTACTAACTTATTTTTATTTTTTTTAAATATTATTATTATAATATTTTTTTACTATTTTAAATATTACTAATATTACTACTAACATTATTTTTATATTTTTTTTTAAATATTATTATCATTTTTTTTTTATATCTTATATTATATTAAATAGTACTTTTTAATTATAAAATATTTGTATTTTATTGTCATTATTTATATTTTTTTTAATAAAAAAATAAACTTAAATTAAATATAATAAATTATTAAGTTATAAATTTGAATTATGAATAGTGAATAGAGTTCCGAATGAGTCGAGTCGAGTTGAGTCAAATTTATTTTATAAAATCTTTCAATTTGATTTGATTCGAATTATACAAATTTTAAACTCAACTCGATTTGACTCGACTCGATTTTAACTCAATTCGACTTTGAAAAAAATAATAAAAAAAAGAAACGAAAAGATCAGGGGGGAGGGGGAAGAGGGAAGAGGG